TTTTACAGTTTGAGTCCTCGGGATGAATTTGTGTTCGGTATAATGTTCAGAATTTTTTCACAAATTAAGTCCTCGAGATGTTTTAAATACTCTAGGCGTCGAGTTATTTAACCATCAGTCGTGCTATTTGAGTTTGTCATGAACGAGATAACAATACACAGCAAGAAGAAAAATACTTCATCGAGTAAAATACATGTTCAAATTACAAAATGGAAGGACTATCGTCATACAAAAAAAAAAAAAAAACTACTAATCTAAGTCCTCGGCCCCTTCCCCCGAGGCTGTGCTCCCCTGCTCCTCCACCGCGTCCTCGCCGTCGACGTCGACCTCTTGGTCCTCGACGGTGTCCTCGGACTCTGACAGCTCGAGGGTATCAGCAATCTCGGGGATGTTCTTTAGATCCTCGGGGTTAGCATCGGGCTTCGATCTCAAAAATGCCCGAGCTTCCTTGAAGGCATGGAAGTACGAGCCCATAGCATACTCCCCCTTGAGGCCGTTAAACTCCTCGGACATTTTAAAGTCCTCAATCGCGACCCCTCGAGCTTCAGCCAGGCGAGCCTCAAAATCAACCTTCAAACGCTCGATCTCGAGCTTTAAACCTTCAGCCTCGCCCTTAGCAGTTCCAGCCTCTTCTCGAGCTCTATGGGCATCATTTTTCGAATCCTCGAGCTCCTTCAGAAGAAGAAATCGTTCAGCCTCCAAATCGGCTATCCTCTTCTCCAGTGCTCGAGAAGAGTCCTCAAGTTCAGTAGTCTTTTGGGCCTCATCTTTCCCCTTCAGAGAAAGGCCTCGGGCAATGCTCAAAGCCTACAACATATAAACCCGAGCTTAAAATAATCACAGCGTTTAAACCTTTTCAAACCTTGTATTTTAAGCTAAGTAGATTGGGCGAGCTTACCTTCAGAGTAAGAAATTCCAAAGCCTTCATGCCCTCATCAAAACCGAGGTCCTTCCTGTACTTGTCCACGATGCTTGACACCAGAGGACACCAGTCAGGCTCCTGGT